TTCGTTTAAATGACTAAGTAATAAAACTGAACAGATAATGTTTATCTCCTTTTGATGCAAAGCAAGCAACTTGGCTTTCGAGAAGAACAGCACACACTTAAGACACTTCGCTGCATTTAAGCAAAGCAAGCCTTCTAGATCAGTTATATACTAATTAGAATTTGTCAAAGTACTGGGCAACTTCTTAATTAGAAATGGCCTAGTGGTCAGTCATTAAATGTTATAGTAATATCTGCCTTGACAGATGTTTTAATGCATAAGTGCTTTAATATGCATAATATGTCATGTTGCAAATTAAGACTGGAACATATAATTTATGTCTCATTTGTGAAAATTTGACTCATTCTGGTAGGTATATGCTAGGCTTCACTGGGAGTGCCATCTGACTGAATGATCTCCAAATTGGCTCAATATGCAGGCATCAGTTTTTATTCTCTTTATGAAAATCAATTACAACTGTACCTACTAACACCACTGAAAATACTGTTCCAACTGGTTCTGCTATAGCTATATTGTTAACCACTATTAATATCCTCAGTTCTAAGAAAAATATAATATCCAGATTTTACTGTCTCCAGTAAACTGCGTTGATTGTTTCAACAATAACCTGATTAGTGAGAACAACAAGGGGAAAAAGAAACACACAACAAGGCTTGATTGCTAATGAAACTATTGCAATATATATTTTTTTAAAATTACAGAAAAAAATGTTGCTTATGCTAAGAAATGACCCACTGATTTCTTCTGAGCTAACAGAGTAGCAGCAGGAGAAATCAATCCAACTCATTTTGTGCTTCTGCGTGGAATTTACTGGAATGCAAGTTTGCAGAGCCATACTTTTCAAACACATAATCAATGTCCAAACAGCAACCCAGCCCAGTTTCTGGAGATATATTTATTTCTCAGTATGATCATCATAAAAGAACTTCTTTGAAAGAAGGTTGTTAACTTAGTAGCTAAGTAACATTAAATAGCATTTCTTATGAAGCAAAGCTCTTTTATTACTTAAAAGTAATAAAATATATATAAAACATGCAGAGAAAACAAATTTCTTACTGAATTTTAGGGACAAATATAGGAGGGGCAGAATATACCTTCAGAAGTTATTTTTAAATCATGATGAAGCCAAGGGAAAAAAGCTTGATGTCCCCAGAGCATATGATTACAGAATTTGATCCATCAACATACAAGTACGAGTTTCTGCAAGCTCATATATATTTAATTTTAAGCATATGGGGACTTTTCAAGAACTTCCACGAACAACTTTTTACTTCACTGAAAAACAACAAGTGTTCAGGTATTTTTCCAGTTCCTCAAGATAAGATTTTTGAAGTGCTCTATTGGCAGTATGTTAGTTTCCTGAAAAAGGAATCCAACCTTTTCACCAGCTGTTTTTTTCATTCTGTTTCAGTTTTCCAAGAAAACCATTAGCAGAAGGAGGAAACACTAAGTATAATTCTAAACAGGGAACCAGAAATTAGCATTGCATGTGGATTCTGACAAAGAAGTTGCAAGTCTGATAAGCTGTATTTTGGCTTTAATGACAGCCTTAGGGCATCCATGTATGTACATGTAATAAATCATCCCATTGAAAAGATAATTACTGAGGGGGGGAAAAAGCTTTCTTGATAGCAATTACACTGAACTGTTCGAATTAGCATACCCACAGATGGTTCTTTGTTGTCCTACATACACATTAGAAAGAAGAATGTTTCTTTACATTAGTTCACTCACTTGAAAGGAAAAAAAAAATCAGGACCTGGGTATTAATCACACTAAAACTACATAGGCTTTCTAAACTAGGGAGACTTTTGACTGCAAAACCAATGTAGAACAAAAGGTTAATTAGGCTTTTAGGCCTGAGTTTTCAAAGGCAGTGAAAGTTGGATGGGTATCTAGGTGAAAACAGCAATCTCTTTTAGCTGCAGGCAGGGATTCAGAAATATATCCCCATTACTATTTGGTCTGGCAATGCTGGCCCTTTCTGAGCATGGACACAGCATGCACACTCTTT